TTCATTTGTTCTTTGTTTTGACTTCGTTGAAATGAATTTCCTTTTTAGACTAGCAATATTCAGATAATTTGTGAAATATTTTATTTGGGTTTAAAATAAGGAATGTGGCACATTGATCATCTAGCCCATTAGAATCAGCAAGTCTTTTGTCTTCAGCAGTTTAGTTGTGAAATGCCTAGTTGTGGTTTTCTTTATAGCTGTCCTGAGTTGGCTGAGATTCTTGAATGTGAAGATTGCTAGCTTTAAGAGTTTTGGGAATTTTTTTTTTTTTTTTTTTTTTTTTTGAGATGGAGTTTCTCTCTTGTTGCCCAGGCTGGAGTGCAATGGATGATCTCAGCTCACTGCAACCTCTGCATCCCAGGTTCAAGCAATTCTCCTGCCTCAGCCTCCTGAGTAGCTGGAATTAGAGACATGCACCCCCACACCCAGCTAATTTTGTATTTTTAGTAGAGATGGAGTTTCTCCCTGTTGGCCAGGCTGGTCTCAAACTCCCGACCTCAGGTGATCCGCCCACCTTGGCCTCCCAAAGTGCTGGGATTACAGACATGAGCCACCATGTCCGGCTGAGTTTTGGGAAATTATTGACTATGCTTTCTTTACATATTTCGCCCATCCTATTTTTTCTCTTTTCTTTAGTAACTCCAATAATAGGAATGAAGGCGTTTGCACTATGACTTGCATGTGACTGATATGTGTATTCTTTTATATTATCTGTGCTTTAGTCAAATATTTTATGCTGATCTGTCTTTGGGATCATCAAGGCAATCTTCGGGTATACTGTTCAACTCATCCAATGAAGTCTTCATATCAAGTATTGCTTTTTTCAGTCTTAGAATGATTCCTTTCTACAGATTTAGATCTTTTCCATCATTTGTTCATATTGTCTTTCAATCTTTTTAATATATTGATCATTGTATCTCAATGTAATATTAAGATGCTAAATAAAATATACTTTTATTTTCATCTGCTTATATTGTTTGTTTGTTTCACCTGGTAATTGATCACAACTTCTTGCTTCTTTTTATGTTAGTTATTTGTGACTGTATGCCAGATACTGTGGATAAAACACATGTCAAAGCTCTGTATCAAGCTACTTCAACCAGATAGGAATTTGTGTTTTCTCTGTGGGGCAGATGAAGTGATAAGATCATCACCTCAATCCAAGAGGCTGAGTTAGATCAAGACTAGGAGGATATTTTAGTAAGATACCCTCCACCTCTAGTTCTGTTTTTATTCGTCAGGCCCATCTCTTCCTTACTGTTGATTGAGAGCTCTAAAGGACAGTGGAACGTTCAGGCTGTTCGGTATCCTGCCATACGCTCCATCCAAGTTTGATGAGCATCTTGGGGAGACCAGCCATGTTCTGTGCCAGACGCCTTTCCTCAAGTGGAACTTTTTCTCCCAATTATTATGGGACTTCTGGTGATTTTAACTTACTTTGCAGAAACTTTCCTAACCTTTTACTCAGCCTCAATTTAGCAAGGGTACTCTGAGGAAAATTGGCAAGGCATTCGGGGATACTTTTGTTTCCAAATTGTGCTTGTTTCTATGAACGCCACAAGCTTTGCTGGCTTCTCTTTCCTTCCTATGGTGCTTCGGCATGAACCAGGTCTGAGCTGTTTCAAATCAGCAGATATCCCAGGAGAGAAAATAGCCTGTGAAAGTTACCTAACCTAGGTAAAACACTCTGCTCTCTGGAATTTTTGTTCTAATTCTTTTTGTTTCTATAATTCACTGATCTCCTTAAATAGATTTTTTGCAATTAATTTGTGTTTTTTAGTTAGTCTAACAGGATTGTGTTCTCCTGCAACCCATGGCATTCTATTCATAACCAGGAGTCCCCTTAGAGTCAACTTTTAAGAAGTCTTGGGCAGCTATGTCCTTCCAACCTAACAGTCCATGAGATCTTCCCCTATTTTTTCAGAAGCTGCAGATGAGATGATCACAAAGAAAAGTATGGACATGCGTGACAAAGAAAGGTTAAAAATTAAATTTGTACTGTCACATGAAAAACTTGACCGTTCTTTTTTCTGTGTCCAGAGATACAGGGAGTCCATGGAGCCTCCCCTGCAAGCATCAGTACAGAAGTCGATGGTAACCCGGATGCAAGCCCAGGACTGTGTTGGACCTGGGAGGAGTCCGCTGACTCAGAAGACCTGCATCTAAGGAATTGGCTGTCCTTATCCTTAAGTATGATGACTATGTTTGCAATTCCAATAGACTCCTTGATGTGTTCTGAATAAATATGCCTTTTGGAAGTGAACTAGAGCCTTTAACTTTGACCCATTGTAGTTTCCTTTCTGTGTGTGTGTGTGTGTGTGTGTGTGTGTTTTAATATATATATTTTTTTGTAAAGGCAAGGTATTGCTTTTTTGCCCAGGCTGGTCTCAAATTCCTGGACACCAGTGATCCGACTGTATTGGCCTCCCAAAGTGATGGGGTGATAGGTGTGAACCACTGTGTCCAGCTGCTTTCTGGCTTTTCTAACATCATGCTATTTCAACTCTGTTCCCTATGTACATTTCCCCGATCACATGGTTGTGTCTTGGCATTTCAAAATACTTAACAGACTTTGTTTTGTTTGATTTTTACAATGAACTTTTATGACTAGGCATGGCCCCAAGTTCAGTTTTATAGTTAAGAATTCTATAGGTCAAGAACACAGTCAATAACAGCAGGTGACAGGATTTAAACCTGGGTCACTTTGCTTATTTTTTTTTCTACTCTATCATTATGTGAATCTATCCTACCTCTGCAATGACAGATGGCCCCAGAGCAAGAACACTTCCTTACATCTGTTATACAGTTGAAAAGTGAAAATTCCATACAAATAAATATGGAAAGAATTTTTACCTGCTCCTGTAGCTTCCTTTCAGGGACCTGGCACTCACGAAGGCTGAGTAACTGAAAGGGGACTTATGTAACTTAACTCAAAGCAGAGAAGGTTACAGAGACTCTCTTAGCATAATATAACATGGAGTGATCATGCTTGGATGTGCAAAACGTCTGATAGTCTTGGATGTGGCTTCACTCTGAATTACACCAGTGAGGCAAGGGCAAGAGGGACTTGGGGGAGTGGGGATTCAAGGGGAGATGCTCTGATGAAGTGGAAGAAAGACAACTACACAGGAGGACTAAGAGGTCACTGAAAGACTTCCCAGCTTTCCTTGGAAGAAGGATCAATTGCCCAGGGCAAAACAAACTTGTCGGACCCAAAGCTCTCATTTGAGAATTTTGTTGTCTAAAAATTATAAAATATCAGCAATTTGATATGGTTCAACATAATATTTTAAAACTCTTCCTTTTTCTATTCTAAAATAATTTTTAATAATGTAAGCTATATGCATACATGCTTTAAACATCTGACTATCATATAGTGGATATTTCAAGAAGTAAATGTTCAGCTTGTCTTCACCCTCACTCGAAGACATACTGTGTGTATTAGGCTGTTCTTGCATTGCTGTAAAGAAATACCTGAAACTGCGTAATTTATAAGAAAAGAGGTTTCATTGCCTCAGGGTTCTGCAAGCATCTGCTTCTGCGGAGGCCTCAGGGAGATTTGACTCATTGTGAAGGTGAGATGGCAGCAGGCACCTCATGTGACTGAAGCAGGAGCAAGAAAGAGAGAGGGAGCGAGGTGTTACACTTTTTTTTTTCTTTTTTGAGATGGAGTCTTGCTCTGTCGCCCAGGCTGGGGTGCAGTGGCAGGATCCTGGCTCACTGCAACCTTCACCTCCTGAATTCAAGTGATTCTCCTTCCTCAGCCTCTGGAGTAGTTGGGATTACAGGTGCCCACCACCAAGCCCGGATAATTTTTTTTAGTATTTTTAGTAGAGATGGTGTTTCTCCATGTTGGGCAGGCAAGACTCGAACTCCTGACCTTGTGATCTGCCCACCTCGGCCTCCCAAAGTGCTGGAATTACAGGCATGAGCCACCGTGCCCACCCGATGCCACACACTTTTAAACAACCAGATCTCTCTCTTGAGAATTCACTCACTGTTTCACAGACACCAAAGGGATGGTTTAAACCATTCATGGGAAATCCGCCCCCATGATCCAGTCACCTCCCATGAGGCCCTACCCGCAGCATGGGGAATGCAATTCAACATGAGATTTGAGCCGGGACACAGACCCAAACCATGTCAGTGTATTAGCCAGACGCTTGCAGCTATATGAAGACTATCGTGGTTACCCTAGCTACAAATGCAGATGTCGGTGACACAGGAGGGGGCAGGGAAGTGCTGGGAGGAGAAGGGCGGGTATTTGGCAAGGGCTCTGCTCCTGAGCCTTTGCCCACAGACCTAGGTGAGGGCAGGCACTCCTGCCTTTGCGCCTAAATGTTGCATTTCCCAAGACTGCCATGCCCCCATCCTGTGCCTATAGAAACCCAGAGACCTTAGTGACACTCACAGAAGTGGCTGGACATCCAGAAGATGTCAGGAAGAGCACACGGACCTGCACCAGCAAAGGCTGGCAGGCCACTGACTGGGGACGGCCGTGGAGTTTGGCTGGGCGGTTGGAGGAGAGCCAGGCCGCTAAGTGGCCTGATTCCAGGGAAAAATCACCTTTCCACTCCATCTCCCTTCTGGCTCCTCCATCTGCTGAGAGCTACTTCTGCTCAATAAAGCCTTGCCATTCATTCTCCAAGCCCATGTGTGATCTGATTCTTCCAGTACACCAAGGCAAGAACCCTGGGATACAGAAAGTCCTCTGTTCTCGCCATAGGGAAGGGGGTCTCACTCAGCTAACACCAGTCACCTGCAGATGGCAAAACTAAAAGACCACCCTGTAACTCACACCCACTGGGGCTTCAGCTGTAAACATTCACCTCTAGACACTCCTGTGGGGTCCGAGCCCCACAACCCACCCATCTGCATGCTCCCCTAGAGGTTTTAGCAGTGGGTCACTGGAGAAGCCAGACACTTCTCCTGTCACACACCCTGTGAGGGGGCAAGGGAACGTTTTCTGTTTCATCATCAGGGTATGGTACTGGTGTCTTAAATAATACTAGCATTTTGCCATATTCCAGCTCTGGGCCAGCTCTGCTTCCTGGCCTGCCTTTCAATCTTTTCCTTGCTTCTGGCATGAGTTCCCTTCTCTCTTGAGAAACCAATTGTGCATTTGAAAATACACATAGCTATACATATTTTAAAGATATCATTTAGCAAGGATGCTCCTTATTGGATGGCCTTTCATGTTGCAGGGACAGAGAACAGGGCAGTTCCAGGTGAGGGAAGTAGAGTGATCTCATACACAGTGAAAGCTAAGCAGGCAACAGCCTTTCCAGAAGTATTTGTAGAAAGGCAGTAAAAGAATAAGATGCAAATCAAGCTATTTTTAAACCATCGTTTTTAGGGCCAAGGAAGAAATTATGAGAATGAATTCTTTAAAAAAACATCGTAAGGTCTTTGCTGGTGTTTTTAGTTGAAGTAATTTAGAGATGATTAGGTATTGTTATTTTTAATTCAATTTTTTAGAATAAAAGCTCACAGAAATAGAAAGCTTTGCCATTTCTTTTCCCCACAACTTTAAAAAGGTAACCGTGAGTGCTGGGTCACAATAACCTTTCTTTTTTAGTCTCCTATTTGTGTAAATTCATCCACCATCAAATTACATTGTACTCTTTCCTCCCCTGACTACCTGTGGAAGAATGCTGATATAAATGAACCCAAAGCCTGTCCTTTTGTCTCTTGCTTTGAGTAAATGGTAAAATATAGATGCCTTAGTCCGGTGATTTGATTTAATACAAATGGATCTTGTTACAATACTTCTTTAGGAGGAGATATTGGAAGATTTACTTGTAACCTTCCTTGCTAAGTGAACAGTAGTATTTGCTGTTTCTACGATGTGTTGTAGTTTGAAAGATTTTGTTTGTATCATGCCAAAGTGACTGCATTAAGAAGTACCTAGTTGGCCAGGCATGGTGGCTCACACCTGGAATCCCAGCACTTTGAGAGGCCAAGGAGAGATGATTAACTGAGGTCAGGAGTTCGAGAACAGCCTGGCCAACATAGTGAAACCCTGTCTCTATTAAAAATACAAAAATTAGCCAGGCTGGGTGGCACATGCCTGTAATGCCAGCTATTCGGGAGGCTGAGGCAGGAGAATTGCTTGAGCCTGGAGACAGACATTGGAGTGAGCCGAGATTGTGCCACTGCATTCTAGACTGGCCAACAGAGAAAGCCAACAAAAAAAGAAGTACCTAGTTGACTGATGACAAAACTCCTTTAAATCATTCAGCTGTTTGACCTATATCAGTGCGTAGGTGCTATACATAATTGTATATTTTGATGCTATTTTATTATGTGCAGTGTATAGTCCCAGCATTTATGCTAATTACATAGTTCTTTGGACTCCAGTTTCTCTGTTTGTAAATTTGGGTAGATGTCTATCATGGCTACTTTAAAGAGAGCACTATATGTAAATGCAGGGTACTTTGGTACCATTAGAGGGATGGGGCTGAGATCTCAAAGAAATAGGCTACACTGCCTCTGGGGTGAATGGGTCCTGCTACGTGTAGGGCTGCAGAGTAGGACACATGACTCTGGAGCTACAGCTCAGGACTCTGGCCATGCAGTTGAACGTTTCTGCCAGTTCCTTCCTGGTCCCGCCTTTGCAATTTCCAGCTCCTTCTCTAAATAAATGTTGAAGATATGTATACACAGGTGTGCCAAAGTATACAGTTGCCCAGATTATTTGCACACCTTGGTTTGGCCCTGGCCAGTTGAAGGAGTTACAAGGAAATGATTGCTGCAATGGTTTCTGTCATTCATTTCTCTGTGTATATCGGCGTTAATTGATTTTTTGGCAGAGCTTTAATTACTTTTGTACTTTTCCCCTTTCTTCTGTCTTCTGCTTCTTTTTCCAGACTGCTTCCAAGATTGGATGAAGGCAATCTATTGACAATGCTATGAAGAGACGGATTTGGAGTTTGTTGGGGGACACACATGTTGTTGACTTCCCTGTGCAATCTAGGATTGAGTGAGGGATGTAGTTGGAAGGAAAGAGAAGACGCCTCCATCTTTCTGGTCTAGAGAAATTATGCTGGAGCCCCCGACCCAAATGAGAAAGGAGATGTTTGTGTTTCCACCATCTTTGAGATCTGACTGCTAATGTAGCTACCTTTAAACAATTCTGCTATTTACAATAAAAGTGAGATCTCCCTCCTCCAGCCTGTGTTACACACCCTAGGATTCCACCCTTGTTCCTGGCACGTTTCATTTTAGGAGCCTGCTTCTTTCTTCTATCCCTGCTGCTTCTCTTTACAGAAAGCGCTGAGCTTCTTGGTGAGTGTCCCTCCCAACGGATGAATATTCAGCAGGGAATGGAGAGCTTTCTACCTTAAGAATCAGGATGTGGCTGTTTGTAAAATTACTTCATATTTTGAAGAGTGGCTGCAATTAGTTTTGGTGTTAGGCAGCAAAAACCCCAAAATGTTCTTTTTGATTTCACATTGCTTGCACAATACAGATACCCATTTACTGGCAGAAAACTTTGTGGGGAAGTGTATGAGTGTGTATGTAAGTGTGTGTGTGTGTCTGTGTGTGACTCCATACATACTTCTGGAATACCTTCTATGTGCCAGGCATGGTGTTAGTTGACATATGTAATTGAGAGTAAAACAGTCATGGTCTCTGCCCTTAACCAATTTATAATCTAGGATAAGATAGACCTTCCGTGTTCAAATCCACAGTGACATTAACTGCAATATGATCATTGCTGTGTTTGAAGAACAGTTAGGAAAAGCACCAAGAACTTACAAGATGGCTTAACAGAAGAACGTCATCTAGCTTAGAAGGCTGGATAGCCTCTTTTTAAGAAAGTGGTATGAGTAAGGATGAATAGGAATTGGCCAGACCAAATACGAAGCCAAGAGTTGGGGGTGGACGGGGAGAGGGAGGTGACATTGTACTGACAGAGAGGTGTCAAGAGCTGAGGAGGCTGCTGGGTGTAGAGAAAGTGGAAGTGTCCTGGGTTGCAGTTCTTGGTAGATAGAAGTGTTGGACGAGGGGACGAAAACAAGGCCATTGGAAAGGGAAGAAGTTGAAGGTGAAGGTGTTGGTGACGGTTTTAATATTATTGCAGAATTATCTGAAGTGCAGATTCCAACGTTGACCAAATTCATGCTGTGACTGTGGAAACTGGTGCTCGAGGTGAGTGATGGCACCTATCAGTGGGTATCAGGGTAAGGAACTGCTGGGCAAGGTGTTGATGGTAAATCTAAGTGATGTTAAATCTGCCTAGCACCATGGTAGGGCTGGGCGAAAAGAAGACTATGAGTTGGGTGCTAAATTCTTTAAGGAGTGACCAAATGATTAGAGGACTAGAGGGAGAAGAGGCTCTTAGCCAGCTGCTCAAAGGAGCGACTCACAAAAGAGTGTAGTTGTTTGTCTGCAAGTGGCACTGGGTAGTCAGGAGGACGCTGCATTGGTTCTGATACTGGGATGTTTGTTTGGAGTTTGACAGAAAACATCTCCCAGCCCCCACTTGAGAGGTTAAGCAGTATCCTTAGGGGACAGTGGTTTCAGCGAAGTTGAGAAAGGTGTGTGTGTGTGTGTGTGTGTGTGTGTGTGTGTGTGTGTGTGTCTGTGTGATAACTTTGAGATAATTATGTGTTGGAAACATGTAGATTAAGGTGAAAAGAGACTACCCTCAGGCATTCATCCAAACTTTGAATTTCTTCTAGAACCGTCCTCTCAAGTCACAGTCAAGTGATCCAGAAATTGTCAAATCACTCTCTTCTAATGCCTAACATTTCACTTTTGGTAGCTTTTTCTGTCGAAGAAATAATACTGTATATAATGGACACATATAAAATACACATAGTATTTTCTATGCAAATGTGTAGCAAAAAGGGCTTGGGGGTATGAAGTCAGGGTAGGTAGGCTGAAAGAGTATCTTATTTATATTTTTTAGGATGACAATTTGGTCCTGTAATGCTTGTGTGATTTAAAATAGAAAAATTAGAAAGTGCATCAAAACCTGAAAAATTAATTTGCAAACATTTTGTGTTATAGTTGGAGTTACGAATGTCACTTGTCTGAAGATGCTTCTTGATCATTACCAATTCCACTTGTGCTTCATTTTCTTCTTATTTGAACTAAATTTCGTACAGTTTATATTTGACAGATGAACATTTACACGGAGGAAGCAAATTGAATAAAATATAGATATTTAAGTTAGTTTAAAATGTAAATTTTATTTTATTTTCGAATGGGGTCTTGACTGGATCCTGTAAACTGTAGCTGGTGCTTTTACTGCCTTGATGTAAGCTGTGTAGTCAAAAGAAGAGTGGGAATGGCCACTGTGTGTGGATATTGTTGTTCCTGAGGTTAATTCTGTCCTAGGCAGCTGCTAACCAAAGGATCTTCCGGAAATGCTCTCCCAAACCACTGCCCATTGGGTATCAAACGGAGTGTCTATTTTAGAGAAAATTATTGCATCGGATTAAAAAATTGGTTAAATCGTTTTAACATGCCTGGATCTTATCTTTTCATGAAAATATTTTTTATTAACTTTTTTTTTTTAAGGAGGACAAGTGCTCTTCAGATTTTTTCCCATGAGAACTGGAGATTAAACTTTGATTTTTTTTTTTGAGACGGAGTTTCGCTCTTGTTACCCAGGCTGGAGTGCAATGGCACAATCTCGGCTCACCGTAACCTCCACCTCCTGGGTTCAGGCAATTCTCTTGCCTCAGCCTCCTGAGTAGCTGGGATTACAGGCACGTGCCACCATGCCCACCTAATTTTTTGTATTTTTAGTAGAGACGGGGTTTCACCATGTTGACCAGGATGGTCTCGATATCTTGATCTTGTGATCCAACTGCCTCGGCCTCCCTAAGTGCTGGGATTACAGGCTTGAGCCACCGCGCCCGGCTAAACTTTGATTTTTATCCTTTTATCCTACCTGACAGAAGCTGTATGTTTTGATGATAACCCCTGGTTAAAAGCAAAATAGCCCTAAATAAACACACATACCTTAGAATGAATGAGCGTTTCTGGTATAGTCTTAGATTTCACAGCGTCAGACTGACTAGGCTGAGAAAGCCACCAGAATCCCACAGCTCGAAGTTCAGGTTTCATACAGGATTTTTATGTCCTGTAGAATATTTTGTTTGCTGCAGTTTTGAAATGAGTATCTTCTCTAGGAACCTAATGTTTAACAGATAAGTACAACCAGATTATCTAACAGGAGCTGGAGGGGAAAATTTCACCATTTTGAATGGGGTTTGAGTTTAGCAGTACACAAAATGTATGATTATATTATCAGTTATGTGAAAATATCTGTAATTGTTAGAAAGGTAAAACCCATGTTTGCCAAGAAAATCAATTTTTTCCGTATCTCTCTTTGTGCACTGTGATTTTAAAACTTCCTTTTCATTTTTAATGTTATTTTCTGTTTAAAAAGCTTATTTTTGAAAATTAAACAAAATTGTATACATTTATTGCATACAATGTAATGTTTTAAAATATGCATGCACTTGGAATGGCTAAATCTAGCTAATTTTTATATGCATATTTATGATTTTTGTGGTGAGGCCACTTAACATCTACTCTCTTAGAAATTTTCCACAATACATACTGTATGTTGTTATTAACTGTAGTCACCATGTTGTACAATAGATCTCTTGAACTTACTACTCCTGTCCAGTTGAAATTTTGTATAGCTTGACACACATCTTCCCAACCTCCACCTCTCCGCCCACCAGTTCCTTGTAACCACCATTCTACTTGCTGCTTCTATGAGTTCAACTTTTTTAGATTCCACATATAAGTGAGATCATGTGATATTTGTCTTTCTGTGCCTGGCTTATTTTACTTAACGTGATGTCCTCCGGGTTCACCCATGTTTCATGAATAACAGGTTTTCTTCTTTAAGGCGGAATAGTATTCCATTGTGCATATATATCACATTTCCTTTATCCACCCATCCGCTGTTGGACACTTAGGCTGATCCCACCTTTTGGCCATTATAAATAATGTTGCAATGAATACGGGAGTGCAGATATCTCTTTAACATATGGATTTTGTTTCCATTGGATATATGCAGTATACTCAGAGGTGAGGTTGGTGGATCATATGGTAGTTCTTTTTAAGTTTTTTTGAAGATTCTCCATATAGGTTTGTATAATGGATGTACTCATTTACATTCTTATGTGCATTGTTTTCTGACATTGATGAAACAGTAGATCTATTCATTTCGCAGACCTTTATTATGTGCTTACTATGCATCAGCATAATGGGAGGTACAGTTGATACAAATAAAAGGCACAGCCGTGCTCAGAAGCAGATACGATAAGTATTTATTAAACAAAGGTGGCAGTGGTGGGCAACCGACCACAGGTGAGAAGAGTAACAGGTAGAGTGGAATCTAGGATGATGTATAGATTTTTGGCTTGGGCTATTGAGCTGGTGAGGAATATATATTTTTTGAAGTGGAATATACTGTCACCTTCTTTCTAAATAGGGTCAAGTTGGAAGCCAAGTAAAACTTTCCATTATTGGTTCTTGTAGCTTGCTAACGAAACATACTTGGTGATTATGGGCAGCTGGATTGAAGATTAATTTATTTTTACTCTTGTTACCTTAACAAATTTCATGAACAATAACTCATCATTTGAAATAGCCATCTAACAGTTGGATTGCCATTGATTACATGAGGTGATTTACCAGGAAGTTCAGCACATGCATGTAGTATGCTAATCCTTGCCATGTCTGTTTTCTGTTAATTGATATAAATTTTGTTGTGTAGGTTTTGGTATTCTGACTCAAATTGAGAAAATGTATACATTTTTATATACATGTATTAATGTAAAACTTGAACCTGGAGAAGCAGATGTTTCTAGTAAAGTAACCAACATTTTCTTTGAAGAATTCAAGTTACCCTGAAGTACCTTCTCTAGTGATTGAATTGTTATTGTTGGAGGTCAGTTCTCCACAGACTTTTTGCATTTCTGCATCTCTTGTGAATGAGCAATTAACTGTCCTTCATTCTGAACTATCTTTTTGGGTATATTTGTGTTGTGAGCAGTCTTGGAACATAGAGACAGTGTCTTTCTCTGGAGTAAAGGCCAGGAATGCTCACTGCCCATTATAAAAGATTCAGGTTCCCTACATTCAAGATTCCTCTTCTATAACACAATCACTGAACATGCAGGTACCATTGCACCAT